TTATATATCTTATTAGTACTATTTGTAATATTTGTAGCATAGGTACTAGATATAGACCATTACGTTTCTAAAAAATTAAAAAGTATAAAAGCAGCAAATGTGGACCTTGAGTTCGACATTGTGTCTTCATACACTTTCAATAATAAAATACCTTTTAGAACCAAAATCCTAAACAGTTATTAGTATCTTCATATATTTTTAATTGTTGCTTCTTTCGTAATTGCAAATTGTCTTAAATCTTCTTTGTTAAGTTTTGTAAAAACATCATACCAACTTAGTTAAAATACAGTAACTTGGGATATTACACAAAGTATTCACTAGCTACAGTCGCTCTAATTACCTATTATCTTTAAAGAAGTGGATATAGGATAACAGTAAGCATAAAAGAACTAATAATATTTGATATTCAACTTACTGATAAACGTTTTACTATAGTGTGATAAATTTGAAATTTTTATTACCTAAGGGGTGGGCATTAAGAGATAATCAAAAGTTAGGCAACAGAGGTAGTGGTACTAGGATCAAAAAACACATAAGATCTATGTTAGAATGCTTTTTTGTAAATGGAAATTGAAAAAGTATAGATAGAATAGATGCACAGGCCATGTATAAAGAACTCCTGGAATACGTCGAAGCTAGTGATATAGAAAAAAAGGATATTCCAAAAATTACTACGATTCAAAATTGGATAAACACATATGCTCATACTTTTAAGTAAAGAGCAGCAATTGAGTCAGATAATAGTGCTTAGTTAAAAGTAATACTTGCCTTCATTTTGTATCTTGAGATTTAAATAAAATATCAAATATTGATTAGTGTTTATAATATAAAATAAAATTTTAAATATCGATAAAATTAAAATTATAAATGCCTTATTATCATAAATAATTCATGATAGAATCGCCCAGAAACACAATTTATTTCTATATATATGAGTTCTTTATAAACAAAAAAAAAAGTTTTAATAGCAATCACAGGTAGAACAATAAATCTTTTCAACAAGTATTCTTTCAAACATTCTTAGTGTGATATACAACCTTTCTGAATATCTTCTAAATATTTTCCAACCTTTTATATTATACATGAAAGAGATACGAAAAAAATTTTGATAATAAAAAAAATATTTGAAAAAGTTGCATATTGCACCAAATATTTTTGAATAAATACTTGTGAAAAGGTTTATTGTTCTATCCGTGAAAAGAGAGAATCATAAGTTAAGGGTAGGGTATTTGTTTACTATTTGTTTGCGCATAGCATGAAAATAAACCAATTAAAATTTAATGATCTGCAAAATTAACCAATTATAATTGTATATTTGGTTATACATACATATTTATTTGCACATTGCATGAAAAAAACATATAAACAAATACTCTATCCTTAAATGCTATACTCATTTCATTTTTCAGATCTATTTTAGCAAGTGAAAATTGCTGTTATATGGAAGATCTACTTTAACAAGATATGAAATTGCCATCATATGGGAAGATCTACTTCAACAAGAAATAAAACAGGTAGAAATTGCTGTTATACAGTTACGTGATTATATACTATATATAAGAAAAATACTGATAAATGCAAATTAGTATTGTTCTTGCTATAAAATATTCTTGAGAGCCAAAAATATTTATAAATTTGGCTATAGGATGAGCTAAAAATGAATTATACTAAATACCTTATAGATCTAATTAATATAATTATCTCAAAATACTACATAGTGAATGCCGTGTGCATACAAAGTAAAGTCTTGCAGAAAAAAGTATCGATATTTAACGATCTTATAATTAAAAACTAGTGGTGTCATTTTATTATTTGTGCTACTTTAATACGAGATTAGATATAAAATTTATTGACCTTGCTTATAACCTGAAAATTTCAATATATATATCTCGTATAAGTAATCTGCATCACATTATCATATTAAAATTCTCTGATTTACTGGCGAATTATCAATTAAATAAAATAGATCAAAAACAATTTTGTCTTTAAATTTTAATTTCAGGTTTTAGATCCTAAAATAATTTCATCAACATATATAGTTTAGTAGTATATAATTTTTTAATTGATGATCTGTGAGTCATATGAAGAATGATTTTAGTATAATGTGATGCAGATTACATATAAAAATTACTATAAGTGGAATGCAGCATATATCTAAGAAAAATTTTTTTTTTTACTAAGACTGTTCTCAAGTACCTACCTTGATCAGTTTATTAGACGATTTGATTAGTCAAAAAAATTAATCGTGATCATTATTTCAGTCAAAAAAACTAAAGCTATGACTACTGATTTTTTTATAGAGTTGTGCTAATTGGTTAAAATTTATCATTAATAGAGTAATCAAAGAAATTGTATAAGCTAAAATACTCTTTCATTTTATTGTTATTATTTTTTTGTAATATAGATCTTCAACAAGATAGTCATCACTACAAAAAAATTATTTTTCTACTTTTCATACTAAAAACTTTTATAACAAATAAAAGATATTCAAAAATTAATATTCAAAGAATAAACACATACTATATTCTAGCCTTTAGTTATATTACAATAAATATAACTATTTTATCTATTTTTTATTTACCTAGTACAAGAATACAAATTCAGCAAAAACCCAAAACCAGAGAATTTTGGACAAATATTTTCTCATATTTAATAAATGAAAAAGGTTATAATTCTTTTTAAAGACACTTTTATATTACTTGTATAATTTTTTATACTATTGTTTTCTGTTTAAAAACATATCCAGCTTTTGTATCAAATGCTATGAATATAATACTTATATGAAAGCAAATCGCAATTGTATTGTGGCAATTAGCAAATAGTGTAGGAATACAAGTATTAGAACAGACATTTGGAGTAAGCCAAAAGTCTATAAACTATTTTACTAACTAATTTTTAAGAGCATTATTAGATTTGGATCAAGAACAAATTTCATAGCCCTGGAACCACAATTGACAACAGTAATTTAAGGGTTTGAACGTAAAAAAACTAGATTTAAAAATCACAAGTTGTCTAATGTTATTGGTGCAATAAATAGATCTTATATATTAATTCATGTATCTTTTAAAAATAGTTCATGTTATGTAAATTATAAGAGTTTCACTCTGTTAATCTTCTTGAAGTTATCAATTATCAAAAATATTTTACTTATATATATGTTAGAGAAGCAGACTAATAATAATTATTTTTTCTTTATTTAACAAAATATATATAATATTTATTGATTTTTTATTACAGAAAGTATATATAATACTTATGTATTTTATCATTCTTCTCTTTATTAGAAAATTTCTTTATATCCAGAATGATAGGTTCTAGGTAAAACATATATTATCACAAACACAGCATACCCTTTGCAACTATATTTAATAAAAGCTTATCCCAATTATTATATTTTAACACATTATGAATAGTATTTTAATAAAGTTCTTTCGTCAATATAAATGATTGTAGAGCAAGAATTTGAGTATTTAAAAGAAAGATAGAAGGTTTTATTAAAAGAGCTTTACTGTACTAACATAGAAAGAATTATAAATATAATCTATGTGTATTGTATTTTACATAATATATATATTAATATAGAAGATAAATATTCTTTAGAAGAAGGGTGTGGTGACTTAGTGAAGTGGTGAAGTTGTCGCACCCCCAAGCGGTTGAGTACAAGTTCAATTCCCATTGGAGACGAAAATTGAATTTCGAAAAACGGATTCGGTAACTAACGCCGTGGCCGGGAAAACTCGAGACCCTGTAA